TTCATGTCCAGGTCGGCCTGCTCGGCTAGAGGCCCAGTCGGTCAGTCTATCCAAGGTCTGAATATCCTCAAATCTACGCCTAGACCTAATTTTATGACTCGTAATCCGGATTAATCTGAAACTTAACGGATGTCTACAGATCGGACCGAATCAAATATTATCCTTCCCTAGCCAACAAATAGGATCAAAAAAGTAAAAAATGGGATGTACAGCCAAATCTATGAAACAGAAAAAAAAGGAAGACGAGAGTACAAATTGGTTCCCATGCTGCTGCAAAAATAAATATATATATTATAATAGAAATTAATTATATTATATATTAATGAAAGATTTTATATATTTAAATATTTAATATATAAATTTTTTCATTAATCTTATTATTATTAAATTTTTTTCATGTCTAGGTCTGCCGGCTCGGCTAGAAGCCCGGTCAGTCAATCTATCCAAAGCCCGAATCCTCAAACTTAGTCTAGACCTAATTTTGTAACGGATGTCTATGGATTGGACCGGATCAAATTTAGGGATTGTTTGGGATGACCTAAATAAGTGTATTTTTTTTATCTTTTATTAAAAAATATACAAAAATATAGAAAGGTAAATGTGATAAAAAAAAGATAAAAAGATAAATTATTTTGTAGTAGCCAAACTTGGCCTTACCCCTCTCTAGCCAACCAATTAGTGTGTTTGGTTTGAGTTTTTTAAATTAAGTTTTTTGAAAATTGCCTTTTTTGATTTTCGTGTTTTTTTTGTTTTAGTGATATTTTTTAAATTTTAAATATTTTTTAACTTTTTTAGATGCACCTTACTTAGATGTATTTAAAAAGTAAAAAATTTGTGAAAAAATATTTTAAAAAATTAATAAATACATAAAAATATAAAAAAAATTAATAAATACATAAAAATATAAAAAATGTACTGAATTCTTGTATTTATTTTGTATTTTTGATATTTAGTGGATTTTTAAAAAAATTTTCTTTACATTTTTTTTTACTTTTTAAGCGTATTTATATTAGATGTGTCTAAAAAAGTAAAAAAATTACTTAAAATATTAAAAAAAATTAGTAAAAATGAAAACACAAAAAATAAAAAAATAAATTTTTTTGAAAAATATTTTTGGAAAAGTAAAAACAAGCCAGGTAAATAGTATTCGAAAAGCAAAAAAATGGGATGTACGGCCAAATCTATGAAACAGACAAAAAGAAAGAAGAGAATACAAATATTGGTTACCGATGCCGCTGCAAAAGTAGAGTACTGTTTGGCCAGCTGTGTTTTTGGTGTAAACCACTGGCTTCTTCTACAATCCACACCAATTCATCGCCTCCGCCGGACCGGACGGGTATGCTCTCGCACTCTCTCTCTCTTTCCTCATCGTTTTGTTTTCACCTATCTTTCATCTTTTTTACCCCATTTTTCAGTTTCTCAAAACTTTTTAAATTCTCTTAAAATTATTTACTAAAAAAATTGGGTCTTTCTTGGTTTGATTTGTGTTTATATAGCTGCCCATTACTGGAGATCTAATAAGTATGTGAATAAAGATGTTTGACAAATTCAATTTATTTTATTTTCAGTTCCATATTCGCTTTCGATTTAGTATTGTATTTTCCAGTAGACCCTGTCCGTCTGTTGTTGCTTGCATGGTATATGATATGATATATTATTGTTTCGTAACTAGGATATACATTATTTTGGGCTTTTTCTGGGTTTTCTTTCTTTGGAGTGGTTAAAAAATTAAATTAAATAAATAAAATTGGTTAACGTGTAAAAAAATTTGGTCCCTGCACGCGACTTCTTCAATGGTACATTAAAAATGTGATCTTTGCAACTTGCGCATCCACCCCATATGTTTTATTTGTTTATTTTTATTTTTATTTTTGTGCCCAATATAAGACTTTTTTTTTTTTTTTTTTTTGGGGGAATGGCTTCCTCAAGTTGGGTTGAGGGTTCTGCTGAGCCCGTGGGGACTCACCACGGGCTCCGTTTTGATAATTCGAACTGTTCAATGTGTAGAACTTGTCAAGTACTACAGATTGAACGGTTCAGATTATCAAAACGGGACCGTGATGAGTCCTATAGCCCAACAGCACCCTCAAGTTGGAAAGCCATTCAAAAAGTTCAGCACTTTATTCCATGGATGCCCTAATTATTTTCTCTTTATTAATAACAATAAAATAATAAATAAATGAAAAAGAGTAATGGCATGACCTTTTCTTTCAATTCAATGTCTATTCCTACGTGCCTGGGTTTTAATTTATACTCTTTATACATGTGCGTTTTTTGTTTTTGTTTCGTGTAGTTGACTCTGCTCGCTCAAATTTGTTTGTTTGCGCTTTACATTTTTTATTTAAGTTAAAATTTAGGCGAGCTCTCAACTTTCATTTTGAGTTCATCGTTTTCATGTCGGAAGCTAAACGAAGTTCATCCATTTCTTACCGACAAATGTGTGTAAAGTTAAAAATTATGTGTAAACCTTTTTTGACTCTCTAGGAAAAATGAGAAAGCCAATAACTCTATATAGTACGTTAATTTTTTGTTTTTGTTAAACAATTCTTCCATTAATTATCCCATAGCTACTATATAATATTGCACACATTTTCTGTCCCCACACCCTCTAGTTATTCTCTATCTATTACCTCCTTAACGGTGCTTGCTTTTTATTATGTGATATATTTATTTATTTTTTATTTTATTTTTTTGTAATAACATAATTTGCGAAACAATACATGATACATGGACAATGATAGAGCTTGGCAGTTAGTGCTAGTTAGGGTTAGTGCTAGTTAGGGTTTTTTTTCTCAAGTCACTGGTTCAAAACTCAGCAAGAATTGTTTTACTTCACAAAGATGTGCATACCTTGCGTATTGTGTGTGGGTGCCAATTGGTGAACCAGTACATATGTACAATGAATTAGATACAAACTTGCCCCGCTTCCCATTCCTAATATTTAGACTAGTGGATCAAATACAAATTTGGATTGGTTGGACCATTGGTTTTGTTGATGGTCTATATCCCACCATTTTTTCATGGCCTAGGGCCACATGGCCTCGCTCTTCTCAACCCCTTTTATTATTCTTAGATTTGTGTGTATACATTCAAATAAAGTTCTGCCCTTGCAGTCTCTTTAAAGTTTGTTTGGAAAATTGATCGACTATGTCGAAGGTTGGTGTTTTCGTTTTGCTAAGGCCTCGTTTGGCAACTATATGATTTAGCCAAAAAGTCACTATAAGTTTTCAGATTACTCTCTCTACTTTTCTGCATATGTTTTCTTAAAAAGCCAAAAAGTTAGATTATTTCTCTTCTGAACATCACATTTTGAGGTTTGATTTTCTCTTCCTTAAAATCTTCAGTATAATAGTAACTCCTTTACAATGGTCGCATCTATTTGTCTGGTATGAAGGTTTTGATAAGTCCTTTAGTGAAGTAGATAAGTTTTCCTCCTTACCTTCTTCTTACATGATGTTGAAATCTGTTGTTGGTATGAAGCACAGGTGTTTGTGAAGATAACTTGAATTTTAGCCAGTGTTGATGGATTCGGATGATGAGGTATGCGCTCTTCATTTGAATTTCGTTTTTAAACAAATGTATTGAAATATTTTGTGGCCTTTCAATTGTTTCCACATTGTCAGAGTTGCAGCGATAATTCTGATTCAGAGCTTGCCTTCTGTCCAGAAGATGACTACAAATTTCAGGACATAATCCTGGATGATGACAATGAAAAATTTGTGTCCAGAATTAATCGCTATTGGGATAGAGATTCCGTGGTCCTGCCGCAGCACTTGGACTGGATTTTCCAATACGGAGCCATTAAATGTGCCACCGCATTGCTTGGAGGAGAGACGGGTCAGACGATGGATTTCTACTGCACTCTCTTTCTGGGGTTGCCGGTGATGCATTCCTTGGCTGAAACTTGTGATGGTGCCTTGATTGAGTTATTTATTCACCATGGAGCTCCATTGGATCACAGGTGTTATGGTCTTGGTCCAAATAATGCAAGCTTAGAAGGCAAGCTGCCGCTGAATGCAGCTGTTGAGTCGTTAGCGTATGGAACTATGATCGATGTGTTTAATTGTTTACTCATCTCCATTCGTATTTTTTCAGTTACCTTTCTTAGGAGGAGCGCATTTAATATAGATTTGCTCACATTTCTTTTTGCAGCTGCAATATATTTTATGAAGGCTGGAATCCTAGCAGACCTCTCTTTGAGATGCTTGTACTCCTGTGCAGCAGGTTCAGTAAGGTTCTCTCTCTGTCTGTCTGTCTCTGTCTCTCTCTAATAATTTGAATAGTTGATTTTATCTTCTTACTAGTTCACAAACATTGTGATGGCGTTGATTAGAATATATATATATATATATTATGAAGCTTGCTGATTTTTAGATTTAAAATTTCCTGCAGAAAGATGTGACAAAAGGTATCAGGCTGCTTGTATTGAACACCAAAGAGGCTGAGTTAGAAATTTGTCAATATGCAAAGGAGGGAAAAGTTGTAGAGCTTGCTGCTCTTCTAATGACTGCTAGGGAAAAGGTGGCTCCAATCTTGTATCAGATTGGAGATGGTTCTACATCGAATGGAGGCATGTCGATCCGCCAATGTATCTATAGTAAGTTGGCAGCACTAACTTATGAGGAGTCCAAATTTACATTCTGCAATGAAAAAAAATTGATTCGGGACTGCAAGGAGAAGAAGATGGCATTTATGTCTACCGTAGAGCTGCTTGACATTTTTGAGATGGCGGGTGACACTATCGAAACATATATTCGGCTTCGGCAGCGACAAGATGAGGATGTAAGTACTCCTTGTGTTTCTAGCATCATAAAGAGTTAATGATACTTGGGAATTACAAAGAACAATCAAATGCCTAGTTAATCACTGTTGATTGCGTTGCATGGAAATCCACTAACAACCATAAATTTTATCATTAGATTTTATCGTTGTTTTCTTTTATTGTTTATTTGCATTGTATCATTCGTTTAGGTTGCATAACTTGTTTATTCATGCATATGGGCCTGGATACTGATGCAGTGCTAATCGAAATAATAGTAACAATCTTAAGATCCGTTGATTCACACAAGAATACCGGAAATAAGACTCCTCTTTAGACCCGTTGATTCCCCAAGAATACCGAGTTTAAAGGCTCAACCAAAGTTGATTCACACAGAATTAACCAAAGTTGGAATAAAGAGTAATAAAACTCAAAATATATTAATCACAAAACTCTAGAGCCCTAAGGCTTTACACCCACTATTTATAAGAAAACAGAGGCTAACTCCACAAAGCAACACACGGGTTTGAAAATAGACTAAGGCAATAAAATATAATAAACTAAGGCAACAAAGGTAATAAAATATAATAAACTAAGGCAACAAGGAAAAGCTAACATAAGACAAATAATAAGGCAATTGCTAAAAGTGAACATAATAATAAACTAAAGCCATTGCCTGCTGTGCTGGTCACGGAATTGCTGTGCTGGTCACGGAATTGCTGGCTGCTTGCTGTGCTGGTTGCATCATTCCTTCCCTGGATGGAGAGAATTCGCCATCGAATTCGCAGCCTCATTGGTGGTGTTGTCACCGTGATAAGGAATGAGGTATCGAACGTTGAACACATCGGAAGTACGAATATGACTAGGCAACTGCAAACGGTAGGCATTTGAATTGATTTTCTCCAAAATTGCAAGGGGCCCAATTTTTCGTGCGGCCAACTTGTTATATTCACCGGCTGAAAACCTGTCTTTTGTAAGAACAGCCCACACTAAGTCGCCAACTTCAAATTCGACCAATCGACGTTTCTTGTCGGCTGTTAATTTATACTTGGCGACTGATTGTTGTAAGTTGGACTGGGTTAATTTGTGCACCTCCTGAAGGTTGTGAATCAACTCTTCTGCCTTCCCATTTATGCGCTTTAAGTCTGGCACAGGTACTAAATCCAGCGGGGCCCGAGGTTGGTAGCCATAATTGACATAGAAGGGACTAAAACCCGAACTTCGATTTACAGAGCGATTGTAAGCAAACTCTGCTTGGTGCAATTTGTGATCCCATGATTTCAAATGATCCGTTACTAAACATCGTAACATGTTGCCCAAAGAACGATTGACAACTTCGGTCTGTCCATCTGTTTGAGGGTGATAGGCGCTACTGAAATCAAGCTTTGTGTTAGCCAAGCGCCACAGACATCTCCAAAAATGACTAAGAAATCGGGTGTCCCTGTCAGATACAATGGACTGAGGGAGCCCATGCAAACGATAGATTTCTCGAAAATATAGGTGGGCCACATTTACAGCATCCGTCGTCTTTTTGCACGCAATGAAATGGGCCATTTTTGAAAACCTGTCTACGACTACGTAGATGGAGTCACAACCTCGCTGAGTGCGCGGGAGTCCCAAAACAAAGTCCATACTAACGTCAGTCCATGGCTGGTTGGGCACGGGTAACGGCATGTATAAGCCTGCATTGGTCGCGGATCCTTTGGATACTTGGCAGATGCGACACCCGTCCACAAGCTTGAAAATTTCTTTCCTCATAGAAGGCCAAAAGTAAGAACTAGCCACAAGCTGCAAAGTTTTGTCACGCCCAACATGGCCTTCTTCATGCAACTCCTTGATAATTCTCAATCGAAGACTTGATGCAGGCACACACAATTGGTTGCCTTTGAAGAAGAATCCGTCATGGAGAAGAAAGTCCGACCTCTGACCTGATTTAACTTCCGCCATAATACAAGAGAAATAGGGATCAACAGACAATAGTTCTTGAAAGGAATCGAATCCAAGTACCGTATTTCTCATAGTAGTAAGTAGAAAAGAACGGCGGCTAAGTGCATCAGCCACTTTGTTCAAGGCCCCTGATTTATGTTTAATCACAAAGGTGAATTGCTGTAGATATGCTGCCCAATTGGCGTGTCTTGAAGAAAGTTTGTCTTGGCTGTTGATGTGCTTCAACGCATCATGGTCAGAAAATAAAATGAATTCACTTTGGGACAGATAAGGATACCAATGTTTCAGGGATTGGACAATGGAATAAAATTCCACATCATAAGTGCTGTAGTTGCCTTTGGAACCACTAAGCTTCTCACTGAAATATGCAATTGGACGACCCCCTTGGCTCAAAACAGCCCCAATGCCCACTTTAGATGCATCACAGTATAGCTCAAAGGTTTTAGCAAAATCTGGTAATATGAGGACTGGTGCTGAAGTCAATTTTTGTTTGAGTTGTTGGAATGCTTCTGCCGCTGCCTCTGTCCAACAGAATTGGCCAGCTTTCATGCAGTCCGTAATTGGTGCCATAATGTTACTGAAATGGGGAATGAACCTCCAATAGAACGAAGCTAACCCATGAAAGCTTCGTGCGTCGTGAATGTTTTTTGGTATTGGCCATTCACGAACTGCATTTACCTTGCTTTCATCCACAGAGAGGCCATCTTTAGATACGACATAACCGAGGAACACAACAGTATCGGTTAAAAGGAACACTTGTTGGTGCCAACATAAAATTTTGCTTCCTGCAGTACTGATAGAACCTGGCGCAAATGCTGAAGGTGCAATTCATTATTAGCGCTACCAAAATATCATCAAAATAAACAACAACAAACTTCCCGATAAAAGGTTGAAATAGTTGGTTCATCACACGCATAAAAGTACTGGGAGCGTTTGATAAACCAAATGGCATGACTAGCCACTCGTAAAGCCCCTCTCGAGTTTTGAAGGCTGTCTTCCATTCATCACCTTCCCGAATCCGAATCTGGTGGTAACCACTTTTCAGATCCAATTTGCTAAACACGGTTGCTCCACTTAACTGATCTAATAAGTCATCCAACCGAGGTATGGGGAACCTATAACGGATGGTGATCTTATTAATTGCTCGACTATCGACGCACATGCGCCACGAGCCATCTTTCTTGGGGGTCAATAGTGCAGGTACGGCACATGGACTGAGGCTTTCTCGGATGTGTCCTTTGGCTAACAATTCCTCCACTTGTCGGCGAAGTTCCTCATGCTCTTTTGGACTCATGCGGTAGTGGGGTCTATTTGGCAAATTTGATCCTGGAAGCAAATCAATTTGATGTTGTATGTCTCGCATGGGTGGTAACATTGGGGGTAACTCCTTGGGAAATACATCATGGAACTCTGCAATTAGAGCCTTCACAGGCTCAGGGATCCTACTCTCTATAGCATTGTCTTTTCCTACTAGTACGAACACCATTCCCGTTTCAACCACCTCCTCCAAGAACCGGTGCATAGACAATAAGCTAGAACTCTTCTCAGTGGCTAGCTTTGGTGCTTCTTCTCTATGAGGTTCAAGAACAATGCGGATCTTGTTAAATACAAAGGAGTAAGTGTTCTTTCGTCCATCGTGCAATACGTCGCGGTCAAATTGCCAAGGCCTTCCTAATAAAATATGGCAAGCATCCATCTGAACCACATCACACCATACCTTGTCCCTGTAATTAGAACCAATAGATAAGGGGACTAAACAACGCTTGGAAACTGTTACCTCCTTGCCTTTTTGAAGCCATGACAGTTTGTAGGGGTTGGGATGTTGGCTTGTACTTATTCCCAATTTTGCTACAGCGTCCTCCGCAATGACATTCTCACAACTTCCGGAATCAATTACGAACTTGCACACCTTCCCACTAATGGTACACGTGGATTGGAAGATGTTGTTTCGTAACCACCCATTCCTTTCAACCTCTCGAGGTGTATAGCAAGCCCTGCGCACAACCAATAGAGGACCCTCATCGCCGGCAACTCGTTCTTCCTTGTCATAAATACTAACTTCGGAATCATTGGTAGTATCTTGCAGAACTTCATTAGTCCCATCTTCGACAATCTCTTCGCTGTCTATGAATAGGCCCTTGACAATCCGATCACTTTTTCTGCAATCTGCAGTGCGATGACCAACTTCCCCGCACTTGAAGCAACGCATCCCACCACTAGTACCAGGGTTCCTGTTTGACTGTCCTCCTGGTGGTTTACCAGCCGTATCAACTTGGGGTGGTGCCAACCTTGCCCCGGGTAGATTCGGACTCGTATTTCGATTTGTTGGGGGCGGATTACGGTTACCACTAGTGTTTCCACTTGGCCACCCCGTAACTCCTGAGCGACGCTTTGACCTTTTTTCTAATTGTATAGCTCTCTGGTGTGCTTCAGAAATAGAATAGGGATCAAATAAATTCAGGGTATCTTGATATTGTTCTTGCAATCCCCCGATGTACCTGGAAACAAGTTGGTCTTCGTTTTCAGCAAGGTCATTACGTGACACCAATTGATAGAATTCAGTGGTATATTCATCGATCGTCTTCGTCCCTTGCCGTAAATTCTGCAATTGTTGGTACATCATGCGTGTATAGTTATGAGGAAGGAACGCCATACGCATATGTTTCTTCATCTTCTCCCAAGAAGCAATCTTACTCTTCCCCTGTCTGGTTCGAGTTAACTTTATTTGTTGCCACCAAGCCGCTGCTCTTCCCCTGAAGCGTGTGGCCACCAAGGAAACTCGTTTGTTCTCCGGAACCTCCTTGAAATCAAGAACCTCTTCAACAGCAAAAAGCCAATCCAAGAATTCTTCGGGTTGAACACTGCCGTGAAATTCAGGAATGTCAATTTTCAGGCCTGCTTCCAACCGTCATGAATTTGCTCCCGTACCTTGTCGAACTCTATCCCTTCGGAAATTTCCAGCAAAAGGGTTGTCGTCTATCTCCTCCATACTTTCTTCATCCTCCATCGACCGTGGGTTTGGATGTGGCTGGCGTTGCTGCTGTTGTTGCAACGCTGCAAGTTGCTCTGTCAGGGCATCAATTTGTTGTTGCATCCTCGCTGCGTCAGCTTCATAAATGTCGTCCATAGGCCGCCTCCTTGGTGCCATCGTCGCCTATGCTCTGATACCAACTGATGCAGTGCTAATCGAAATAATAGTAACAATCTTAAGATCCGTTGATTCACACAAGAATACCGGAAATAAGACTCCTCTTTAGACCCGTTGATTCCCCAAGAATACCGAGTTTAAAGGCTCAACCAAAGTTGATTCACACAGAATTAACCAAAGTTGGAATAAAGAGTAATAAAACTCAAAATATATTAATCACAAAACTCTAGAGCCCCAAGGCTTTACACCCACTATTTATAAGAAAACAGAGGCTAACTCCACAAAGCAACACACGGGTTTGAAAATAGACTAAGGCAATAAAATATAATAAACTAAGGCAACAAGGAAAAGCTAACATAAGACAAATAATAAGGCAATTGCTAAAAGTGAACATAATAATAAACTAAAGCCATTGCTTGCTGTGCTGGTCACGAAATTGCTGTGCTGGTCACGGAATTGCTGGCTGCTTGCTGTGCTGGTGATGTGCTGGCTGCATCAGATACTCGCTGTTTATTCTTCTATCTTGCTGCGTTTCTTTGTTTTTAGATGCTTTATTTGTTTAAAATCAAGATTCTATGCATATATCCCATGTTTAGATGTCTACTGAGGCCTTAGGTTCATATTTTATATTTTTGCATTAAAATCCATCCTTTAGGTCATGTATATTGTGTACTAAGCTGAGGAACGGCAGTGAGTCATTGTAGACACAAATTTCGAAACATGAAGTGTTTCAACACATTTCGGAATTCATGTTACAAATGTCCACTGTTTAGTTTTTAGATTAAACTGTGTTGATTATTTGATATTAGGCTCCTTTTTTTTATCTATATTACAAATCATTAATTACACACTTTAATTAAAACTAAACGTCCGATTAACGAAGATTAAAAAATTAGCAGAAGACAATTTAAGGAAAAGAATTGTTTTATTGAAATTATAAGGATTTAGAACCCTTAGGTACAAGATACAACTGTTGGGTTTGGAACCCTTTACCTATCACTTGCCATTGTATCAGGTGTTTGCAATGTAGGCTTTCGAGTTCTCTTGGTTTCTCTTCTTCTTCCTTGTGAAGACTTCTTCGACTTTTGATTTCTTTCTCTCTCTAATCTCTGATTTTTGATCCTTTGATCTTCTTTTCTCTTGATTTCTGATCTTTTGATTTCTCCTCCTTCCTTTGATGTGATGGTCCTCATATTTATAGAGGGTCATCTATGTGATAAGAGCATCTTATCTTCATTTTGAATTTCAAATTGTATGATAACACCGTTTGAATTTAGGCGTAACCATATCTGATTAACCGTATTGATTTTTTGGATTTCATCGTCTGTGGCATCCTTGTTGTAGGCTCCACAAGTGTCATCATTTGGTTGAGCTTATTGTACTTCAAGTCTTGTAGGCTCCACATGTCGTTTGAGTATCTTGAATAATGTCGTTGAGATACAACATTCCTTTCGTAGGCTCTATACGTGTCATTGATTGATTAATCATATTTGAAATTTTAACATAAATTTGGTTGAAATTTATATGCCAATAGTCATCTTCCCTTCTTTTTCAGATTGCTTGTGTTTGCATTGTCTTTTAATTCAAATAACATGTTTGGATGCCTTACTTGCTATATCTATGTTTGTTTCGAGTGTTTTGAGTAATATTGCCTAAGTTGGATTTTCTTTCATACTTCTTTGAAAACTATTCACTGTGTTTGGTTTGAGTTTTCTGGGTTAAGTTTTTTGAAAATTGATTTTTTTGGTTTTTGTGTTTTTTTGTTTTTAGTGAATATTTTTTAAATTTTAAACATTTTTTATTTTTTTAGATGCACCTTACTTAGATGTATCTAAAAAGTAAAAAATTTGTGAAAAAATATTTTAAAAAATTTATAAATACATAAAAATACAAAAAATGTACTGAATTCTTGTATTTTTTTTGTATTTTTGGTATTTAGTGAATTTTTAAAAGATTTTTTTTACAATTTTTTTACTTTTTAGGTGTATTTATGTTAGGTGTGTCTAAAAAATAAAAAAATTGCTTAAAATATTAAAAAAATTCTGTAAAAACAAAAAAAACACGAAAAATAAGAAAGTAGAATTTTTTGAAAAGTGTTTTGGAAAACTGGAAACCAAGCAAGGTGATTTGTTTTAGAAAAATGGAAAGTTTCCTAAAATTATTTTTGGGAAAAAAATCATGAGAAGTATGGAAAGTTTCCAAAATAAGTGATATTACCTTTTGCTATATGGTAAGTTAGTTTAAAGGATCAAGTGAATTAAATTGAGTATGTGAAATCAAATAAGAAAATAAATCTCATGAAAAGGAATCAGTAGAGGCAAATCAATTGGTTGTGCGAGAGGTGCATTCAAATTAATGACCTTCCCTTTTCGTACCTAAACTCCCAAACCAAGTTGTTTGATTGTGACAGATTAGTGACCTAAATTAAGTGGAGTTAAATGGTTTTCTAGTTCCCCATAAAAATAGGTGGCTACTTCTTTGTATGAATCGGTCTATTTTGGCAATTTGTGGGCAAACGACATTATGGGAAAAACGATATATGGTCATTACAGACCTCAATGATTCATGACCCCAGAACATAAGATATTCATGCCACATGAAAAGAGGGGTCAAGTCAAATGTGTTGGTGCGTCGAAAGGCGTGCATGACTTATTTATTTTCTTCTTTTTCCTTTTGTTGTTTTTGGTCGATGGTTATTAAAATCACGATCCGGATCGTAGGATCATACGACCCTACGATCCTAAATTGTCAAAACAATCCAAATTGGTGTAGGATCAGTGTTGTAGCAGGATCGCAAGTAGGATTGTATGGGATCGTGGTGGGATCGTAAGTAGGATCGCTGAATTTTTTTATGTTTCACATTAGTTTTTGATATGCATCATCCTGATTTGTGTTTTTACATTATTTTTTGATAAAGTAGAATCTATGATCCTCAATCGAATCCTATGATCCAATCCATGAGATGCTCTCACCGATCCTATGTAGGATTCCGATTTTAACAACCTTGGTTTGGTCATAATTTCTTTCTTTCCTTTTGGTTCTTTCATTGTAGGATTCTTCACAACATATGTAACTGTTCCCATCTTGTTGTATCCTTGTTGTTTTCCCTTCTTAGAGTACTCGATTCTTTTCAATTTATTTGGCGTTCCGTGACAGATGGCGAAGAGCAGGTGGCTGTAGATTTTTCTTGGCTGCTCCAGGGAGCAAGGTTACTGCCAAAGTACAAACAAAGGCGTTAATTTGAGCAAGCTCTGGTCTGGGATTTTGACATTCTTTTCATACCACCTTTCAGGATAGTTGTTTCATATTGTTTTTCATTCTTTGGTTGATGGAAAAATGTTATTAATTAATTGAACTCCACTTCTCCAAATACTTATCATTATTAGTATTGATGAATGTTTTGTTTTGTGGACATGATACTGGCTAATTGAGAAAGGTCAAGACCCGAGAGGCATTTAGGTGAGTGGCTGACTCTTGCCTTTTAACAGTTTTTAAGTGTTCCATATATATCAAGGAAAAGGAAGAAAAGTAAATCACAAAAAAAGAAAAAAAGAAAAAAAGAAAAAAGAAAAAATGTTGTTACACTTGTTTTATGCGTTTTATTTATTTATTTATGTGTATATTTGGAAGGATATATACAACCTACAAAGTATGCAATTAATACCAGGGCACTGGTGACGATGAAGTTGCGAGACAGGAAAGTGAATGACAATACAAAGGTGAGAAGATTACCTCTTTATTTGTTTATTTTTTACCATGGTGAGGAAAGTTTTTGGAGCAATTCTGAATTTGTTTGTAACAATTACCTTGTTTAGATTGCTTATAATGTATGATCTTTTGATGTGACACAGATCTCGAGTCTTAGACAAATACAACATCAAAAACCTATGTTTTTATTTATGGTGAAACCTTATTGGTCCGTGAAATTACATGTTATGTCCAACGGATAAATGGCGCGTATAAAACTTGTATATGGGTACATAACATGGAAAAACTTAAAGAAAGTAGGGTACGGGGACAATTGGGGTACATTTGAAAAAAAAAGTCTTATTTATAATGCACTGTATGTAAAAGTATTTTATATTGCATTATAAATCACAGTTAGAAAACCAAATGCAAACCTCCTTAATGTCAAAAGTAAGGTACAAATCGGATTTTTATGGTATTACATTGAAGAACCTACAAACCTAAGCTTAATTCTAGAAACATGCTAATATAGAAAAAAGTAGGGCTGAGCAAGGAATTCGTGAAATTCGTAATCCGATCCAGTCCAGTTCAATCCGGTAGGTTTGGATTGGTTTTTTGAATCCGTGGTTCGGTTCCAGATTGAAGAATTAAAAATTCGTAGTCCATGGATTGGTTCTGGATTGAACCCTACGCTTCCGGATTGGAACCGATCCGGACCGTATACAAATAGTCTATATTTTTATTATACATCCTCCTCCATAGTATCTTCTCTTATTCCATATAAAACCTAAACTCAAACCTAAACCCGCATAATATCTTTTTTTATTACTTTTGTTTGTTAGTTTAATTTTAATTTATAATGGTCTAAATACTTATGGTGAAACCAGATTTCTTATGGTTGTTTAAATTCTAGAATAGTATGTCGCTATTATAGAAAAACATGTTACTATTGTGGAACAAATATAGCAATATGTTTATGTTTTTATGAAATTAAAGTGTTATATATATATATATATTTTTGTTATTTAACTATGTGAATTCGTGGTCCTAAACCGATCCAATCCTTGTTTAAATGGATTCGTTCGGATTGGTTTCATGATTTAGACGGATTGGATTGGTTCCAATTTTTCAAAAATCGTAGATAACGGATTGGTCTTGGTTTTATCCCAATCCGGTCCAATCTGGACCATGCTCACCCCTAGAAAAAAGTCCCATCCAGCCAACTTCATCTATGTATATAAGAAAGTACTATTCTAGTTGAGGCATGACTTAGGTATATACTAGGTACTAATGTGGGTTCGTGTGTTGAATGCCCGATATGCATGCGAAGTACCATGCAAAGTATTAGTACCCAATAGATACTCGGTATGGGTATGGCATTTTTTTTGAAGTACACATGATGCAGGGTATAAGAAACTCAAGAAAGAGTAAATTCAAAGAAGCATGCTTCCTAGCATCTCACAATCCCATTGGTTGTTGAGAGATGACTACCCTTAAGGGTTATCATCATCTCTTTCATTGGGATATAGATTGAATTGAATGATATAATGATCTCTCTCTCTCTCTCTCTCTCTCTCCCCTTTTGTCATTTCCATCAGACCCTAACTTTATTGTGAGCTAGATGTCTTGATAAATTGCCCTTTCCCATGTTTTGGAGGGGAACTCTTTCGCTTTCAGTTCTTTGAGTGGAAACAAAATCTTGTTTTGTTCTCTCAGAAGTCGTCACTCCCCTCACCCCCTTGGATCTTTGTAGCCCCTCACCCCTTATTTCTCCCCTCACTGAACTCTCTTCGTTTTCACCAATATCTCCCTTCCATTTCCTTTTTTATTTTTGTCTATATGTTGTATGAGTGTATATATATCTTGTAGTCATGCAGATCTTTATATATACAAATATTTTGGTCATGATATATATATATATATATAAATGTTGCTGCGGTGGGAGGGCAAAGTTGAGACCACGTTGGCACCAATATATGTTGTATGAGTGTATATATATCTTGTAGTTATGCAGATCTTTCTATATATTATATATGTATAAATATTTTGGTCATGATCTATATATATGTGTTGCTGCGGTGGGAGGGCAAACTTGAGACCATGTTGGAACCAACCGAAAATTTATGCCAAAATCTTTTGGTGGTTTCAAGGGTGAACCTTACAGAAGCTGACCTGTAAATAGACCTACTACTTCTTAGTTATGTGAAGACATGCAGTTCTTGTCTTAAACCTTTGCTTGATGGCAGCCTCTTAAGTCATTGTTCATGCTCCATGTGAAGCATTTGCACTACTCTCTCTCTCTCTCTCTCTCTCTCTCATTTTTTGGCACTTCCCTCACCCCAAATAGCCTCTCCCATTCCAATTCCTCACCCTTGAAAATCCCTGATGTAGGATGGCTACTTTGCTAAGGGTGACAGGAATACAAGAGATCAGGGGTTGTTTTGGAGAGTAAATAATAGTTGTAACAGAGTATTTGATGCAGGACAGTGCTGTTAGGGGCTGTTCTGAGGCTGTGAAAATGCTGAAATTTAAGAGAGAATGAAAGGAGGAGAAGAAGATATGTCTAGGGTCTAGGAATCACTGCCTAGAATCCTTTAGGCATCACACTTAAGGTTTGATTGCATCACATAAACACAATCCATAAGAAAAGCTTCAAAGCTCTGAATCTCTAAAATATCAACTTTACTAAATTATAGGTATTACATGACTTTATATAGAAGTAGGAAACTTCATAAACCAACTAGAACTAAAAAAGGAAACTTCTAAATCTTTAATTTTAAAAAACCCATCTAAGACTAAATAAGATATATAAACCAAAACTAATTAAACAACCTTACCCGCAAGATGACACATGGGCGACCCAGATAACCCAAATCAAATCAAGCCTTAAGTCCCATCAAATGGGGTTGGCTACATGAATCCCTCTTCTCCACTCGACTCTATCAAAAGCCATTTGGCTAGTCAAATTAAGGAGATTCATATCTCTATTTAATATACTAGCCCACGTCAATCTAGGTCTATCATTTCTCTTAACACTTCCCTCTATTATTATTGTATCGCATCTCTTTACTACTGCCTCTGTTGGTGTCCGTTGTATATGACTAAATCTAATCAATCTATTCTCTCTCAGCTTATCTTCTATTGGTGCTGCTCCTACCCATTCATGAATATACTCATTCCTAACTCTATCTTTTCTAGTCTTGTCACACATCCACCTTAGCATCCTTATCTCAACAACACTTATCTTATTTAGGTGTTGTTTCTTAGTTGCCCAATATTTTGTCCCATACAACATCGCTAGTCTAATAGTCATTCTATAAAACTTTCCTTTTAGTCTAGTGGGTACTCATTTATCGTACAGTACCCCATATGCACTTCTCCACTTAAGCCACCTCGTCTTAATTCTATGGACCACATCTGCTCTAATCTCCCCAACCGTTGTGATAATTGATCCTAAATAACGAAAATGTTCACTTTTAGGTAGTTCTTGGTTCTTAATCTTCACTTTTCCTCTGCTTCCATTGTTACTGTTACTGAAATTATATTCCATGTACGCTGTTTTAGTTTTGCTTATCTTAAATCTTTTAGATTTAAGTGATTCTCTCAAAGTCTCCAACCTAGTGTTAACTCTTCTAGTCCCATCAGCTAACACAATATTATTTGCAAAAAACAGACACCATGGCACATCATCCAGAATATTTCTCGTCAACTCATCCATGACTAAAAGCAAAAAGATAAGGACTTAAGGTTGATCCTTGGTGTAACCCTACAGTAATTGGAAATTCACCTGTTTCTCCAGTAGGTGATCTAATAGTAGTCACCACAACTTTATTCATGTCCCTAATCACATTAATGTAACATTTTGTCGCCTTTTTCTTCTCTAGCACCCACCGGATTATATCTCGAGGCACTTTATCATATGCTTTTTCAAGATCGATAAAAATCATATTAATGTCTCTTTTCTTTTCTTTATACTTTTTTATTACTCTATTCAAAAGATAGATTGCTTCCATTATTGACCTACCAGATATAGATCCAAATTGATTATCTAACACCTCTATTATATCTCGTAATCGACATTCCATCACTCTCTCCCACACTTTCATTATATGACACGTTAGCTTGATTCTTCTATAATTGTTGCAATTCTGAACATCTCCTTTATTCTTATAAATCGACACTAAAATACTTTCTCTACTCCTCTAGCATTTTCCTAATCAACAAAATCTTACTAAATAACCTAGTCAACCAAGCAATCCCTTTCTTACCCAAGCATTTCCAAGCTTCAATAGAGATATCATCGTGTCCTAAAGCCTTATTCAATTTCATCTTAAGTGCAAATTCCACTTCAAAATTCCTAATACTGCAATAGAACCTGTAGTCATGGTTTTCCTTATTACTGGCTAATTCCTCCCCTTTTGACCTTCCTCCATGTTCCTCATTCAACTTCTCATAATAGTTCTTTCATCTCTCCTTAATCTCTTCACCCTTCACCAACACCTTAGAATCCTCACTCTTAATGCACTTAACCTGATTAAAATTTGTTGTGTTCCTCGCTTATTTTAGCTAGTCTGTATATTCTTTTCTCTTCCTCCTTACTAACTAGTTCAGTGTATAGATCATCATAAGATTTTAGCTTAACCTCTGTCACTATTTTTTTAACCTCCATATTAGCCAATTTGTAACTTTTAAGGTTTTTCTCAGCCACTTTTTAAAGCACTATTTGTCGTCTTTACTACCGCTTGAACATCCTCCCTCCACCACCAAGTTTCCTTAAAGTTAGGTCACTTTCCTTTCGACTCTCCAAGGATTTCCTTTAAAATTCTCCTCATACAATTGATCATTGAGTTCCACATAGTATTAGCATCATCTTCCAAGTCCCAAGTACCTTCTTTATTTATTCTATTCGTAAATATTTCTAATTTATCTCTTTTTAGTCCCACCATCTTGTCCTACGACACCCACTATATTTCCTAGCTTAGTAAGCATAAATCTAGTATCAAAATCTTATGTTGAGACGTCAGGCTCTCTCCAGGAATCACCTTATAGTTGCTAAATTTTAGACGGTTCACTTTTCTTACTAGAAATTAATCTATTTGGCTCCAAATTGACCCACTTTTAAATGTTATCAAATGCTTCTCTTTCTTCTTATACATAGTATTGGCCACCACCAGGTCAGAAGCCCATACAAAATCTAAAATATTCTCTCCAGCCTCATTTCTATTACCAAAAAATTCAAATTGTATTGCCATTGCAATAGCATCTTCGAGATCTTCCATATATACATGAGACATCTCTTATTTGATTCCATATCTCAATCCACTTTTGAAATGAGCAATAATCATCCGTTCACTTTCTACCACTCCACACTTGATAAATAATTTCTTGAATTTTCGTGCATAATCAATCAAACGCATATCACCTTGCTCAAGATCAAGAAAATCATCTTGAAGATCCTTTAGACGAATTTTTTTCTCTAAGAAGCGCTTTACCCTCTTCCCAAGTCAATCCACTTGTAGAGGATCTCCCACAATGTGAAAAAATCATGGTAAAATCTTAGGTTTTAATACCAAACTGATGCAGCACAATTAGGGACAGCGCTGTAAGGACTTTAAAACTGAATTTCAGTGGGTTTTTATGGCTGCTTAAAGCTGAAAATCAATAGGAAATTTATGACTTCAATTAATAAATGAAATGAACTAGGTTTAAGATTGATATACTGGGTGAAAAAGATCAAAATAAGGGCTGTTTAGGAGCTGTGAATAGTAGCTTGTGAACAGTAAACTGAAACAGAAAAGAAGAAAATAATTCAAAAAAGAAAAGAAAGAAAAGAAAAGAAAAGAAAAGAAGATGGGTCTAGAAATCACTCCTAGAATCCATTAGGTATCACCCCTAGGGTTCGATTGCATCACACAATCTATAAGAAAGCTTCAAAGCTCTTCAAATTCTCTAAAATATTGATTCTATTAAATTAGAAGCATTACATGCTTTATATAGACCTAGGAGACTTCTTAAGTCAACTTAAGACCAGATAAAAGTCTTTGACATGATTCAACCACAACTTGATTTCGAGTGTCAAGTGCCTCAAGTCTTTGCATGTATTCTTCAAACAATGTGTTGTCATGTCTTGAATTAACAAGTTGCTCATGTGACTCAACAAGATTATTTGAAGGCATATACTTCTCTTGAAACTTAGTTTCCATCTCTTGCCATGTGTTTATTGGTGACAATTCCAATCTTCTTATATGTTCTTCAACATGATACACCATAGTTGTGCCAAACCTACAAGCTCATCGTAGCAAATCTCGCTTTCCGATCTTCTGTCCAATCATAGCAATCAAAATATTCCTCAATTGAAACAAAGCCAATTAGGGATCACCATAGGATCATCCCTTCCTTTAAAATCTGGAACTTCTTTGTTATGGGGTATTAACATATTGTGGCACATAGGATCCCCCACTTGGTGAGAACATAATGGTGAAACCTTAAGCTTTGATACCAAACTGATGCAGGCCAGCACTGTTAGAGGCTGTTCTGCGGTTGTAAAAGGGTTGAAATTTAAGAAAAAAAGTAAGGAGGAGATAGGTCTAGGAATTACTCCTAGAATCCTTTAGGCATCACACCTAGGGTTTGATTGCATCACACAATGCATAAAGAAGCATCGAAGTTCTGAAAATTCTATAAAATATCAACTCTATTAAATTATAAACATTACATGGCTTTACATAAAACTAATAGAATTGCTAAACCAACTAGAACTCTAAAACAGGAAACTTTATACTTTTGAATTCCAAAACTATTTTATGACCAAATAAGAAACATAAATAAAAGACCAATTAAATAACTTGCCTACAAGACAAACCATGGGCGACCCCTAGAGCCCATGTTAGTAAATATGAAAATTACTAAAATACCCCTAACCTAAAAATCATAGAAAATATAAAAATAATCATAAAATAAGACTCTACCAATACTATAAACATAATTATATAAGATTCCATCAATTTTTATTTGAAATCATGCTAGTGTCCTTGAGCTTCTTATATTTTGCATCACTTTTACTTGCATCAATCTGTAGGTTTTACAAGGATGTGTTTAACGCAAAGTCTATTGATATTCCCTATCAGTCATGATGGAATGAATCTGCTGTGTGATGAATGATCCTAAGCATAGATGCCGCTAGAGAAATATGATATGGAATGAACCTGACAATGGATGAATACAATTAATGAAATACATGTGTTAAATGTATCTTTAATGGAGATTGCTCTAAGCCCATAAAGTCGTATATGCTCTAGCCCATATTTAGTCAAGATCCCACATCGTCCCTATGTCATCCAACACGTGCCAAATTAAGGTTTGGGCGTTCTAACCATACTGTTAATGCCATTTATTCACTTTTACTGGATGCTTCCATTTTCTAGCACCCTATTCCGATCTCCCGTGATCCCCAAAACTCCTTCCCTCCCAATCTCATTCTGCCTTTTGCCAATGTCTCCCTTTCCTTTCCTTCTTTATCTTTTCATTTTTTTTGTGCCCGCGTGCGCACGCACTGTATATCTTCTTGTTTTGATTTGTGATGTTTTTCTTGTTTCTTGTTCTAGCAAAAGTCAATTATTGTTCATACTGGCGTTCAACATGGTTCACCGACTTTGCCGTTTCTGACTCGATCGTTCCATACAATGCGAGCACCCTTGGGTTCTCAGTCTACCACCTTTGTGGAAGCTCGGGTAAAGAAAACAACCAAACCAAGAAACCGATATATGCCAAAAACTTTATCATGCCAACGATGGACTCCTGTTGTGATTGCTATTAAGCTTGGGATAAGGCGTTTATGATTTGATTATCTACTATACTTGAGGTATGAATGTTGCTCTAACTTTCTCTTTCTTATTTTGTATTTATAATTAATAAAGTTCCAACGTAATTTTAGCAACTCATGGTTCTAGCTTTGCAATAGTTTGATGATGTATATAAATGTTTTACTCAAATGACCAGAGCCTTACAAAGGATCACAACTTTTGATTGAGCAATATATGGGATTCTCAAATGCTGAAGAGGTGACAGGTATATTACGCAGTTTAGTTTTGACAAGTTTGGTAATTAAAAATATATGTTTCTATGTGTAGTTATCCTAAACACTAAGAATGTCATGTCAAACGTAAACAAAAACCTCTTTTTATTTTATTTTGTTATGCATTTGGTCTAGTATACTTATCTATGGCCACTTAAAATCATACAGAGTAATTCCGGGGTATAGAGAAATTCTCAAAATCAACTACATCATACCCCACTCAACTGATTAATTGCCTATTCAAGGCGATTGATCTTCTCCATCGGAGAAATTTTTATTGCAAGCGCTATTTGATTTGAAAAAGATAAAAAGTAATCAATTGACACTTTTAAATAAGGCATATTTGGTGCTCGAAATCACTTCTATTTATTCCACTAAAGGATTGAGACTAGGTTTGAACTCCACGACTCAAAACAATTCGCGATAATATTCCTGTTTTTAGATGATGAACAAACAAGAATGGATACAAACATGGAGCATAAGTAAATTAAATTGTGATATACATAAAAATAACATGAATGACACATGAACAGAAAACAAAAATAAGGACAAATACAAGAATAAAAGTAATTCTAGACAATATTTATATATACATGAATAAATCCAAACCAAGTCTATTTCTTAATGGGATCTTTTGAATGTATTTTTGTATCTTAGTCAATTTCATGTGCTGAATGTTTGTCAATTGAATTGGATTCTTTTACTTTGTTAATTTAATTGGGGCTTCAATGTAATGAATGAGTTATGATCTCCACCAAATTCTATAATTGTTGGGTCATGAACTTTAATACAACGTGATTCAACACATTGGTTTTGCAAGAGGCATGAATTTATGTGGATGAAAATGAACTTTTGCTTTAGTTCTTTTACAAAAAATGATTAAAAGAAAAAATTGATATGTAACTTAGAGATTAACATCCATGATAAAAGGACATGCATTTGATACTAAGCCAAAATTAAGGAAACTTATGTATATGATTTTTTCCATGTGGTAAAATTCCAAAGGGAAGCTTTATCTTTTGAATATTAATATTATTTTTCCTTCTGTTTTAGCAGATCCATGAATTCCTATTATTGACCACACCTACGAGCTAAATTCTTATTGGAGACATCATTTCAACTTGAATAATCCATGAATTCACTATATTATTTATTAAACGCACTTGCTTTTGTCCTCAGTTCATGTCTCAATAAATTTAAATTCTTGGATATTCTGTGATTTTTCTGGTAGTTTACTGGTGGATATTGGCATTGGATTTGCACTGGTAGAGGTGTTGGGCATAAAGGTTCTGGATTTGCACCTACGAGCTAAATTCTTACTGGATACATCAGTTCAACTTGAATAATCCATGAATTCACTATATTATTTATTAACCGCACTTGCTTTTGTCCTCAGTTCATGTCTCAATGAATTTAAATTCTTGGATATTCTATGATTCTTCTGGTATTTTACTGGTGGATATTCTATGGTTGAGTTGAGGCATTGGATTTGCACCGGTAGAGGTGTTGGGCATAAAGGTTCTTGAATCTTGATTTTTACAAGTAATTTCAAATTATTGCCGCCAGTAGAATTTGCAGAAAGCATTTGGATTTATTCATATAAGTGCCTAACCATGGATAATTCTTATTTGTTAGTTATTATTGTTTGTTGTAGTCAACTACCATGATAGTGAATTGAATTTAGTTATCGAGTATATAATTTTTGGTCTACTTTTGAACTGATGCAGTCAAATTGCCCAAGTAGGATGTTCTTGCTATTGCTATAGGAGACTATAATGTCAGGTTTTATGTCATTCTCAGCATAGAATTTTCGTGTGTATTTATTACATGTTGGTTCTTGAAGCATGCAACTTGATTGTTGAGAATTTGCAGCATGTGTGCTATCCCTAACTTTAAAGTTTAAGTTTTTCTTTTTTCATCATGAAACTAAATTGCTTATTTTTCTACTGCAAATTGCAGGTGGGATTTGGATAACAAACATATTAATGATTCTAGCAGGAAGTGTTGTTAGAACTTGGAAGCTTGATCGTACCATATTTATCTTTCTTTATTATTGGGGAACTTATTGATTAGATTAATTTTGGATACAAATTTGATTTTTATGATATGTGATCAACATTATTGTTAAGAGGATGTTTCGTTTGAGGTCAAGTTGTGTTGGGAAAGGTTTGTTTTTGCTGGGTTTAAGTTAGTCTGCTTAGAAGTGCCAATGATTTGAAAGATTTCACAATTATCTGATTTCTACTATGTATCATGTTAGAATTTACCATAAACCTACTCTCCACCTACTTCACCCACTTAAACCTACTCCACTAAACCTAACCCACTACACCACTACCACCTCACTTAATGTATAGAGAAAGAGAGAGAATAAATTGTATGTATTATTATTGATTGATATATTGATATTTATTACAATGATTCATGATTCCTATATATAGAAGAGGGTGAGTATGTAGTAGGTAAGGAGTAGGTGAAGTGGAGGTGGTAGTGGTGTAGTGGGTTAGGTTTAGTGGAGTAAGTGAGGTGGTAGTGGTGTAGTGGGTTAGGTTTAGTGGAGTAGGTGAGGTGGTAGTGGTGTAGTGGGTTAGGTTTAGTGGAGTAGGTTTAAGTGGGTGAAGTAGGTGGAGAGTAGGTTTATGGTAAATTCTAACATATCAATTATTACTTCTAATATCGATACAATTTGTTATCACTTTTTATCTTGATACAACGACTATTAATGCTTCATATCTCTACTAGTAATCAAATATTGAATTGATTTACAGTTTTAATTGGTTTTTATTTTATTTTATCGAAGACTATGAATTATATGATAGGTCATAATTATATTTTAATAAATTGAAATTGATTATCAGGTTGTGTACAACCTTTTTTCTTGTCTGAAATTTTGTTACTAATTTAAATGATTCATGAATAAACTAAACGGGGGACCGAGGGAGTCAATAGAGTAAGATGTAATTGGTTTTAATTGTGACATTGTGTTGGGAGAGCCTTTAGGCATGAGTAATTTGCTAGTGTATATATATTTGACAAATAACACATAGCAAACACAATGAACTATGAGATACAAATCGATGTACCTACAATGTTTTTTCTTCTCTGGAAGACTTAATTTTTGTAGTCTGAGCAAGTATTCTTTTGCTCTTTTACAATGCAACAAATGGCAATCTGAACTTTGAAGTGAATTTGAAAACTATTCTGATCTAATTGAACTTTTTTGTTATTTTTGTACTTTTCTTTATTTTTCTTTTTCTTTTTCCCTTCCTTTCTTGTTTTTTGTAATTATGCTTTTCCTTGATTATCCAGTCAAGATTTATGTATATCATGTTATGTGGTACAATGAGGAATAAAGTTCCTGTTTCTTGCTACCGTGTAAAAATTGGTATTAGTATTGAAGGTAAAAATCTCAATGCATGGTTAGGAGAAATAAACAAGTAGAATAGACTGTTTAAGTGTGTCCTGGAGTTTGCGGTTCACTTTTAGCAACTTAGCTTGCTAGTTTGATCTTGCGCAACTTTTATAGTTTGCTCTTAGCTTTTCGATCACTTGTCTTTTTTTTCCAATGGGAAAAGTGTGCGCTAAATTTTAGATCTGGTATGAGATGTGCATGCTTTATCAAGGTAAACCTATTATGACACTCCGGTGGCAGTTTTGGTTTCTTTATTTTTTTGGATTTCGTTTTGTTCTGTGTAGTTTGATGCTTTAAGCTATTGAGTTATCAGGGTTCTTTCTTCTTGCTAGATTTTGAAGTTTACATATTTTCCTCTACATTTTTTTATACTGCACAGATTTGTTAAGGAAAATGCTATAGACTCCAAATGAATTACCAACTATTCTACCAAATCTTTCGCATGTGATTTGTGTGGGTTCCACACTCATGTGAGAGATTTGATAGAATATTTGGTAATTCATTTGGGGTCTCTATCATAACTCATTTGTTAAACCATCTCACTGAGCCCTAATTTATTGCTCAAAGCTATCTGGATCAGTGTCGAACAAGGGCATGTGCATTCCACATGTTAGCTGTTCAAGTTATGAGCAGTACCACCATTTATCATTCTACACCCTGGTTGTTATGTTTTGTATCCTTCCATATCCTTCTCCCTACGTGAGCAAACCCAAGTCAGTGATTATTTGAATGTTTGGTATGTTTTGTTGCTATGATGTTGTCTATGTAATTAGGAAAGGTCAAGACGTGAGAGCCGCTAATTCTTGTCTTTTAACAGTTTGAAATGTTGTATATAGAAGAGGAAGTAAATCTCAAAAGTAACACAGTTTTACTTGTTTTATGTGTTTGTTTATTACTTTATTTATTTATTGGTAAGGATTTATGCAACCTACGAGGTATGCAATTCAAGAGAAGGAATTGGTGAAGAGGAAGATGAGGGATGGAGAATTGATTGATAGCACGAACTTAAGAAGATTACTACTTGTTGAGTGCTCTTTATTTTATATATTAATATATAGGGACTATGCATCAGAGTAGTAGGTAATGGGTGGGTGTTCTCTTGAAAATTTGTTCTCAACTCTATCTTGGTATCTGTTTATGCTAAGTTTGGTTAGGTATACTCAGCTCTATGTCGGTCTTTGTTTATGCTTAGTTCGGCTAGGGAATCTATTTGCTAAGTTTTATATTAATGTATTGATCAAAGAGCACTCAACATGTAGTAACCTTCTTACCTTTGTGTTTTCATTCTCTTCTCCATCCTTGAGCTTCTTTTTCACCAATTCCTTTTCTCAAATTGCATACCTCGTAGGTTACATAAATCCTTAAATAATAATAATAAACAAACACATAAAACAAGTGAAACAACATTTTTTTGGGGGATTTACTTCATCTTCCTTTTCCTTGATATATGGAACACTTGAAATTGTTAGAAGGTAAGAATCAGCCTCACCTAAACACCTCTCAAATCTTAACCTTTCTCAATTACGCAAACAATCTCAACAAACAATCAGTTGATCACTGACTAGGTAGGCAACCCCCTTCTCTCTCTCTCTCTCTCTCTCACTCAGATGAAAAGGAACAAGTAGGAGTTGAGAATGAAGATTCCTAGCTTAGTACATTTTTTTTATTAGCTTGCTTTTGGTTTTGGCAAGTACCGAATCAATGTTTGATATTAACTAAATGAATGAACTCTTGCTTTTAGTTTTATTTTTATGCAAAATATATTTTTAGAAATTATAAAAATATATATTTTTTACAAACATATTCCCTCTGTACCTGTATCCTATTTTTTTGTAGGTTTCGTCACATTGTTGTATCCGTGCTTCCTGGGTCTAGTGTCACAATGGTATCTTACATTCATGTAAGATATATGTATATTTGACACATATATGCATGTATCTTCCTTATTTATATAGTTTGTGGGAGGTTATGAAACAGTGAAGGTGGTTTTTGATTTTTCTTTATTTAGAATGAATTCTGTCTCTCTCTCTCTCTCTCTCTCTCTCTTCACGAAGCAAGCACCCAATGATAAATGAGATATAATAAGCTAATTATAAAGCATATACGTAGTCAAGGGATACAAATTCGACGTAATGAATCCTTAAAAAATATGACATGGACACAACTAGAAAATGCTACTCATGATCTTGTTATAGATATGGAATTATGTTATTATCTCTTTTATATGTATACAATAAATATTTATATAATATGAGATGATAAGTAAATATTTCATACTTGTAACAAGAATGCTTAAATAGTCCGTAAGAGTTTATTATCACCATATCTTATATCATCTTACAAAGAAAGTATAGCATGCATACATAATTACAATAAGCCTTTCATCCTCCTAAAGTCTCTTCTTTAATAAAAGAATTACAGGCCTTTTGCATTTTTCTACAAATTTAAGCGAAATTTAAATATCTTTAGTCTTAGCCAATATATATTTCCAACTTGTATAAGATAATGATTTGTCAAATTCCAAAATTTTGATAATCTTGTTTTGTAAGTGTAATAGTGTCGATCATGTATTAATTTCTTAGTCAAACTCCTAAGAAGTGTCGGACGCATTTCTTGACCTCATGCATTCTGAAAAATCTAGAAATTTCATAGATATTGATTTGTGATTATGTAACAATTTTAAGCAGTATATAACAATCTCAATCAAACAATCAAGACAAATCAACACAATGATTTTAACGTGGAAAAACCACAATTGGACACCTCCAACTGTGATTAAAAAATCACGGGCAACAGCCACAAAACAATCCACTAAGAAGATTTAAAGGAATTACACAGGTGTACTCTCAATTACCTAGCGAATCCACGCCTAATTGAACCAACCTCTATGTGCCTCTTCCAACCCCGTCTTCACCTCGGAATTGTCTTTACGATGAGCCACTCCAGAATCCACCGAAGCTTCAGGCTCGAATTCTTCAGAATCCACCGAAGAAGAACTCTCTCTCTCTCTCTCTCTCTCTCTCTCTCTTGTGTATAACAAACAAAACCTTTGATGTACTCTCTTTAAACCATGGGTTGAATATTCAATAAAACATCAAAGAAAACTAAAAAAATATCCCCAGATATAAATCTTAAGAACCAAAAAGAAGATCTGGAGGAGTTAAATAGTTTTGGGAGAAAACCAACTATTTATAGAAAATCCAAAAGTAATCCTAGTTTTGGAAGAAATCCAAAAGTAATCCTAGTTTTGGAAGAAAATCAACTTCTTAAAGAAATCCTTGTCAAACGGGATTGCCAATAATAAAACCTAACAATCTCCCCCTTTGGCAATGCCGTGACAAAACACACCTAACAAATAAAATCCTAATCACCCTAACCCATTACAACCAACAAACACAAACTTCTTTCTCAAGATTAAGATCTGCAAAACAGTTATTAGTGCCACAATCTCCAAAATAACTATTAGTCCCACAAGAGTATATGAAAAAACAATAGACATGACACGATTATCTTGAAACAAGAGATGGAAAACATGAATAGATGAAAATTAAGACTCATGAAAAACAAATCTCAAACAACAAAAACAAGATCATAAACCAACCCAAGTCAAGATGAACCAAACTCCCCCTCACTAAAAGAAACCACAAACACTGAAAACAGTGAACAAGAAGAAAACGACAGAAATTATGGTGGAGCAAGCAAGGAATTTCAGATTAGTACCTTAAAACACACAAGACTA